TTGCTAAAACCATACCTTCCCCATGGATTCCTCTGACTTACTAAAAGCATCATCACATCCTTCCACTGGTGCTTGTATACATAATGCAAACATTTTTTAAAATTTAGTAACTGTTTTAATTGGTACCTGTCTCTGTCTTGGCTTAGGTTTGTTAATGTCACTGTCATCCCTTACAAGAGACTAATTTCGCCAAAGCAGAGAATAATTTATTTAAAACAATCCATTAAAGCCCCTTCCACGCAGAAGTACTGAGTAAATAATCTCTAAGCAGCAGAATATACCTACATAAATATACTCTTTTTTTCCTAATCTGCACTAAATCATGAGTGTTAACTTAAAGAACAAATGTTAAAGATAGTATAAATAAAATTATGTTTCCTGTGAACTAAACTCTGTGTACAGAAAAGGTAAATTTCTTCTTTGTGTGAAATGACAAGTATTCAGTTTCAAAAACTGTCAAATCCAAAGGAGGTGATTGTTGGTGACTATGTAGTCATCCTGCAATTGAAAAAAAAAACCTAATTTTTCAAAAGTAAGTGATAGGACCAGTTTGATCATTTGAGTTTAACAGATTTTTTCTTACATATGCAGTGTATGCACAGTATGAACTTTTCAAGTTCCTGCCAGAAATTTTTTCCTATTTCTCTCTCAAGACAGTTTAACTCGACATTTTTCTTTATCTAATTAAAATAAATTTGAACCTCAGCTCTAGGTCCTATGGTGCAGGGACTACTAGAGAGCATCGTGCCTGTCAAAATTTCTTTACCTTATCAGATACATTGTCCTTGTAGCATTTAATTTTTATAATAATAAATAGATCTGACCTCATCACTGATTTCTTCCTTTTTGTAGGGTTGTATGCAAAGTGTTGGTTTTATCTTTGTTATACTTAAAATAATGTATTTCATTTTCTATCCTCAATATGGCTGAGTCATCAGGACAGAAAGAAGTCAAGAAATGGTTTTTAAAGAAAATGGTTTATAGAAAACAGGAAAGAACAGAGAAGTTAATTGTGGGATGGTCTGCAAAAAGGCATTCTTAAAATTTTAAATTTTAGAAATTATATTACAAGAGTAGAAAGAGTTAAGTCACAGAGACCATACGAGAAGACCAACAAAGCAGGGCCTGTTGATTGACTCTAAAAACAATAATGCATTTTATTTGATTAGGAAAGGGATTAAAGATCACTGGGGAAAAAAATGCCATAAACGGAGTTGTCACAGAAAATACTTTAGTCATATGGATATTCTAAAGGAGTTTCAAAGTTGGAAAAAGTGTGAGAAGAAGAAAACTAAATTACTGGGTGTCACACGGACAAGGAAAATTAATAATGAAATTAATAATAGGGGCCTGAAGTGTTCAGACGTTTTTGCTATACTTCAGTTGGCAAAAAAGTAAACTCAAACAACTGCAGATTATTATGTATTCTACAGGCCCTGCAAGTGAATAGGTAAGAGCTGAGATATGATGCATTTTAGAGTAATACACTGAGCAAAAATTAAAAGCCGTTACTGGCCTACTTTTTAACCTATAGCTTTCTCTAATAAAGGCTTGGTCTTTATTCTAAAAAGGTTTACATTTTACAATTTTGTCAAAACTACAGAAGGATTGAATGCAATTTCCTATTGAAAAAAAGGGCTGTTTCAAATGCTAAATGAATATTTCATTTTCTCAAAAAATACTTTTATAAAATTAATTTTTAAAATTAATTTTGAGGTTAATACTTATTTCCAAATACCCTGACGTACTATCAAGATTTCTCGAATGTAACTGCTTATTTTGCTGACATATGAGGAGTTGATATATTTACAGAAACTAACATTGACACTGTGTCACATCAAATTTTTATTGTCAGAAGAAAATTCAGTGAGTACTAGATTTTACAAATAGTGGAGTTCGGGGTGAGCAAAAAATTCAAGTGTTTCCTTATATGTTTACTAATAATTAATATATAAATTTAATATCTGTTTCCCTCAAATATATTTTAATAAAAAATATATTGCAAAATAAATTGCAATGTAGAAATGGTCCTTCATGAAAAATATTGAATATATGCTACAAAAGCTTAATAATCTCATCAACCCATTTTTCCCCCTTCATTTCCCTCTCTGCTGAGTATCTATGCCATTTGTATAAATTGTCTAGAAACATAAATATATGGCCATGCTATTTTTATATGTTTAATGGCTCCTTTTCTGTTTAGTGAAGAGAAAAATAACCTATAAAGAGCATAAACCATGTATCTTACTAAAAAGAGAACTATTTATGATTGTGACTAGCTGACAGCATATGCTATATATTTTAAATGTTAAGGATGATGAAACTGTCACATTAGGACCATGCTTTGAAGAACTCCTACAATGTTGCAGTTGTTCAAAAGTCCTGTTCATTCTTTGTCACTGTCTTTGCAACACAATACCTTATACAATACCAAATGAAGTTTAGGAGTTCCAAAGCTACAGCCTAATTAGTTGACTTTTAAACATTACTGCATCTGAGAAAAGGGGGAAAATATTTTTAATATGTTTTATAAAGTTTATTTGGGGGAAAGAGTAGGGAGAAAAAAATAATTAAGGTAGCAGTATAATTACAACTTGAGGAAATGTTCATTCCATCCAACTATTCTTCAAGATCTTATTTTCTGATAATATCTCAAATCAAATTTATATGAAGATTATAGAAATTTCAGCAGTTAAGCAGTTTGGGACATGAAATATACAGATAATGACATTGGTTTTTCTCTTCCAGTCTAACGTGTACAAAAATGCACAAATTGTATCTTGGCTACTAGCTTGATCTTTTCAAATAGCTCTAAAATGCATCACCAACAGGTATGAAAATAAGTTATTCAACTTACATATGACAATCATTTAAGATCACAGCTAACAATGTTAGCCCAACTTCAAAGACGCTGCATTTTAGGCTGGAGAGATTTTTAAAGGGCTGGAGAGATCTTTAAAGGACTGTGTACTGTAAAACTAATAATGTGTGTCAGAATATGTATATCATATGTTCTACTTGCTTCAGTGGACCTAAACTGTAGAGAAAGAACTGCAAAATTATATTGGGAGGGTGGAGGTGAAGAAGATGGAGTATGCATCACTCACTACAAGCATCATGGGAATTTGTGAGAGGTAGTCTCTGAAGGTAATCAGACTCCCACGGAGCCAAGATAGCTTTTTGTTGAGTATTTCAATATATACTCTAACTAAAGTATCCTTTTAAGCAAATTGAAAAAAAAAAAAAAGGTTTTAATTAAGCATTCTTGCTTCTTGCGTATAGCCTGGCTCTTTATTCCATGACTGAAAACCAGAGAAGACAGATGTTTGTCTCTGACAATCCAAAGGGGGTGGAGGCTGGTGGGAATATAGGAAAGCAGAATTTCAATAGCAAATATGAAGAGAAGACACAGAAAAGATGAGCCACTGCAGGACTTTGTCTTAGTCATGGCACCCATGGCACCTTAGCACAATGCACCGCTCACAGGGGGGCAGTTGATAATTAATTCCACTTAATTCCATACACTCTCAAGTGTACTGTGCTTTGCAGTTACAAAGCACTTTTCACATATTAGAAAAGCAAAAAAAAAAACAAAAAAAAAACCACCAGTTAAATGAGGAATAAAGGGGCAAGTAAGGGAATAAAAAGAAAGCAAATGTATAAAGGAAATCTGTAAGAACAAACAAGAGGCTGAAAAGGTTCATAAAAGGAAGAAAAAACTGACTTTCTCTCTGTCGTTCTTAATCACTTCCAATCACTCCACCTTTCGTTTTAGAGTACCTGGACGTTAGAAAGTCAGCAGGCTAAGCAAGCCCTCAGAGGGGGCTCCCTCATCTTCGCAACGTGCATTTTCACAAATGATAAACCCTTAGTCCCTGACTAGAGTTTGTGCCTAGGAATAACCACGAGCAAAGCTCTAACATCTTCAAGTGTGGTCAAGAATCTTTTATTTCAACCCACCCATCCCTGTCAGCATTCCCCAAATTTTAGGAATCTGGGTGATGAGAGGATGCAGTGTTCATTGGGGGCGGGGGGATCCTCTACAAGCCCCTTAACTCAGACAACAGAGGGAGATAGTGAGGCAGGAAAGCCCAGGGACTGAAGAAAAAGCCCACGTTTGCGACTAGGAGGGCGAGTGTCTACAACTGGTTATTAGAAATTGCCAGAGAAAAAAAGGGGTTGAGCCTTCAAGATGGAAGAAATGAGGGGGCACTTGAATGCGCATCAATTTACACCTGGCGTCGAGCCCCCAATAAAAAAGCCATGAGGTCGAAAGCCTCAACGGTCAGAAGAGGGGGCAGCTGCAAAGGACGCAGGGGTGGGGGGGGCGGTGGGCAGGGGTTTGCGCAGGACGGAGCCCACAGATACCAGCGCGGATTCTGTCCCAGAGGGAAGCACATTTTCCTCTCCCCCAAAGTAGCGCATCACCCCAGCATCCTCAGCTCAACCTTGGGGAGCTCCCCGGATCCAAACCCAGGCAGTCGCGTCCTGACCCCATTATATGGGCTTAAAAGTTGTAGGGAGAGTTGGCGCTGGAAAAGGCACCTGGCAAGGGTAGCCGCTGAGGGGGTATTAGGTTTCTCAGGAACAAAGGGGCCCGGGAAGGAACGAGCAGAGGAGCTCGTCCCTGGGGGCTCCTCCCTGAGGGGAGAGACAAGGGTGGCCGCGTCCTCCCGGCCTACGGGCTACGTGAGGAGCGGGAAGCGGGCGAGATACACCGGGATCCCTCTGCCCGCCTTCTAATCTCCTATCGGGTAGCGCTGGCAACCCCAGCGCTCTCCGCGCCCTTCTGTGGCTGGGAAGCCACCACTGAAGACAATAGGAGATCGAGATGCCGAGCCCCCGCCTGGCCTGGAGGACCCCCGCCGTCCCCCCAGCGCTCCACAATCAGCCAGTGGAAGCCCCGATGGCGGGTTCAGCCGCGGTCAGCACCCCATCCCTCTGGCGCGCTGGGACCCCGCGTCCCAGGATCGCCTCGCCCTCCGCACAGCAGGCATTACCTTTCATCCAGTCCACTACTTGACTCGGAGACCATTTGCTCACGGGTTCCATGATCAGAGCCATGGGCACAGGGTCGCTACCGCGCGGGGCGCGGAGATCAGACACAAAACGAACTCAGCAGCCCGAGCCGCCCTCAGGTGGGGTCCTTTGCTGGCCGTTGCCTCGCTGGGCGGGTGGCGAGAAGACGGCTTTTGTGTGCAGGGTCTCGCGGCTGCAATGTCTTAGCAAACGGCCAACAGCAGCAGTGGGAGCGGCGACGGGGAGAGAAACGCGCCGGGGTCGCGGCTCAGTGCAGACTCTCTGCTCGGTCCCCGCAGAGGCGACTGCTGCTGTCGCTCCCCCACTCCGTTCGGGTCTCTGTCCCTCCAGGGCTTCAGTCCATGGCTTGCACCGCCGAGGGTCGAAGCGCTGAGGAAAGGAGCCGCCGCTGCCGCACGCCCGCAACCAACTTGCCCGCTCGCCTCGCGCGCGGGAGTGAAGCCCCGGGCACCACAAACTGCCCGGCGGAAATGACGAGGGGCCTCCTGCCACCCAAAATATCTCTCCGCAGCCCTCGGGTGCGGGGCGCGCGCGCCACGAGCCCCCCGCCTGCTCACTGCCGCGCGGTCCCGCCCCCGGGGCCGACGGCAGGCGCGCGAGGCGCGTGCGCGTGCGCGCTCCAGCACGAGGCCCGAGCCCGGGGTCTGTCTGTCAGTCAGGCAGGTGCGGGCGGCTAGCAGCTTCGTGTTCCCGCCTCGCGAGCCGCCCCGGGACAGAGGCGCGCTAGGAGCGCGTGCGCAGCGGTGTCCGCGCGAGTCCCAGACCCGGGTTAGTCAGTCAGGTGCTGGAGGCTCGAAGGGGATTCTGAGCGGACGTGGCGGCTGCGGGACGGGCCGCCCACCAGTTGAACGCTGAATGCCGAGGCGGCTGAGGAGGTACCTGTGGCCGCGCTGCTGAGGGGAGGAGGACACCGCCGAGCGCGGGGGTTACAACGACAGCCCGGGCTTTCCTTGCTCTCGCCCTCCCCACTGCTGAATGGGCTTCCGAGGTGATTCCCGAGCCTCGCGCACGCCTGCGGAGACCGAGGCGTGGAATGCCGCGGACTGGGACCCGCTCCGCCAGCCAGAAACGCAGCGATGACGAGGCAGGAGGGCCAGTGCTGTCGGACCGCCCCTGGTGGTGCCCTGGGCCTGGAAAGTCAGGCGTGGACCCCGGAACCTGCAACTGCTGGTCGTGGTGATACCGAGACAGGTTCGGCCCCACGTGCCTTTTGAAGGGCCCTGTGTTTGGGTTTTCGGCCAACTCCTTCAAAGCCGGGAGCGCGCAGTACCTATTTTAGAAGATGTCCTTTTGTTTTCAGATAATCTTATGTAAGAACCAAAGGGTAACACTGGTATTTAAATGAGTGACAAATTGTAAACATGATCCTTCAAAACTCATGTTCTTCAGAAATGTTCGGAGGCTACTATGAACCCTTAGTAAAAGACAGTTTGCCTAATAAGACTTAACTTTAAATGGCAAATAATCCTAGAAAGTATAGATGCATCTACCACCATTATAGATGTTTTCTCTTTGTCATTCTTAAATAGCCCCATTGAGTAAAAGAGGAACTCATTTTATTTCTATAACTATTTCAATAATGTCAATTGTTTTTGCCAGTTCCTGCAGTAACCCATTTTCTCGAGTTCTATTGCATGAGCTGCAGAACTGCCACTTTTCTCAACTGACTTGAGTTTACATCCCCACGCATACACATACACAAAAAGAATTGAAACCACAGTAGTTAAATATTTTGATCTTTTCAGGGTAATGTTATAAACCAAGTAAACCTTAGTATGGCCTGTCGGTACACTTGTTTATTTTTCTAATAATCCAAACTTAAAAGTATATGGGAAGAAATTTAGAAGATTATCTAGACAAGTCTAGGTTCAGAGGATGCAGATATAGCCCTTTCTTTTCAAAATCCAGGTAATAGTTGTGATTTACAATTTTACTTAGCTAATCAGGTGTGAAAGATATTTTGGAGTGCTTATGTCCCAATTGAGTCTCAGAACATTGCATCAGTATTTTCTAGAAAAGATCATTTTTAGCATCACTAATTTATGGAATAGCTTTATGTTCAGAAATGGAATGGATGCAAATCCATCGTGAATCAGAAGTTACAGTCATAGGGAGGTGTTAAAAGTAATTCCATCAAAGTAATACTGCTAATAATAACAATGAAGATTTATTGAGCAGTGTGCTAAGTATGTTACATACATTTTATCCTCAAAACAGCCCTGTCATTAGACACATTTTACAGATGAGAAAATCTTGGCTATCACATTCACTTCCTATTCCCAGAGCCTATTACACATTATTCAGTAAATGTTGAAAAAATTAATGAATAAAGCTTAAAGAGGGTAAGTGATTTGTTTGAGGTCATGATACATGATTGAAATACCAAGTTAAGGTGATTCCAGAATATGAGCTTTTAAAAATTTTATTAACTGTTTATTTATTTTTGAGAGAGAAAACAAATGGAGGAGGGGCAGAGAGAGAGGGAGACAGGGATCCAAAGCAGGCTCTGTGCTGACAGCAGACCATGAGATCACAACCTGAGCTGAAGTCAGACACTTAACTGAGTCACCCACGTACCCCAGAATATGAGCTTTTAAAACTAGTAAGAAGATTTGTATCAGTATCATAAAATGGAAGAGTACTTTGGAAGGGAAAGGTCCATTGAATGTTAACTGAATATGTCTCATCAGAAAGTTAACTACAGGGGCACCTGGGTGGCTCAGTCGGTTAAGTGTCTGACTTTGGCTCAGGTCATGATCTCATGGTTCATGGGTTCAAGCCCCACATCAGGCTCTGTACTGACAGCTCAGAGCCTGGAGCCTGTTTCAGATTCTGTGTCTCCCTCTCTCTCTCTGACCCTCCCCTGCTCATACTGTCTCTCTCTCAGTGACATGTTTAAAATAAAACATTAAATTTAAAAAAAGAAGAAAGAAAAAAGAAAGTTAACTACAAAGGCGAGAATGTAGGAAGTGACCAAATTTGACTGAAACTCCAAACTGCATATTCTGACTGGGCTTGCTTAACAAGCAAACTGTCTATATATTGCAAGCAAGTTTAGAGTGAGATCTTGTTTGCAAAATCAATGAAATATCAATCAAAACAAATGCCAAAGACCAGGATGCAGTCAAATAAAAAAGATAATGCATTTCATGAAAAATTGGTGCCAAAGAAGATTCCAAAGAGAGAGGATTTTAAGGAGTACCCTACACTACAGTTAAGTTGAACCTATTCTCCTATTTATGTTACAGGAAGGAATTTATTTAGCCTAATTACCTGAAATAACTAAAATAATTCTAAGAACTAAGAACGACCCAAATGTTGGTGTAGAGTTATACTATCTTATATACTTCACGAAGGCCTTAGGTACGTGTTCTCAGTTTTCCTCCTTGAGACTTCGCCTACAAAACATACAAAAAAATTTTAAAAATTGCCTTTGATTTTGACAATATAATAGGCATTAATTATTTCATTGAATTAGTTCAGAGCATAACTGGCTTTTCACTCAAATATCCTTAATTTGGAGAGAAAAGGATTAAATCATCATTGCCTTCACCCTTTTATTCTTCACTCCAAATGACTCAGCTAATCTTTCCTGCACTTTTCTTTCTACAACTTTTCAAATAAACTAGGTTTTATATTCTTTTGCCTATTATTTAAAATGTTAATGCCTGGCCCCATGTTTGTAAGTATAACAATGTTATTACATTGTTATTACAAGCCTCAGCAGCCTAACTTTGCCTTCTCTTAATGCACAACACCATCCCAAAGATTAGGGGAAAAGCTATGTTGTCATAAAATACACATCAAAACATAATGTACTAAATGATATGATATCACACAGATTTCACCAGTGTAGATACAGAAGCCAAACTGATTCTTTGGAAACAAACTTGGATTCTTTTTGGAAGCAGGCAGAGGGTAAATACTAAGTTAGTTAAATTAATTGGAGAATAAAACTTGTGAGATGTTTGCAACCATATCAAAACAAATCATTTAAAACAATCTTTTAATCCAGTTGTTCTAGTTTTGCCTTTTTATTCTTCTCCTTCTAGTTTTCAATAAAAAAAATTAAAATTCTTGACCAAAATATTTCCAGTTAAGATTTTATAGTATATGTAATAAGTCTAAGTACTTCAGATGTGGAATTTACAAAAGTCCTGAGACTGGAATCTAGGTGCTTAATGAGATGTGACTCTCAGGGTTTGGGTCAGATAGGGAGGAAGTCTTCCACTGAAAAGATCTTCAAGCCTTTGTTTCTTTGGGGCTGTAGACAGAAGTAAATAATTTTAATGTTTCTTCTGGAGCTGCAAGCTGAGTATCTCTAATCTCCACACTTTCCAACCTAGGTTATCTTATAGGGGCCTTAATCATCATTTCCTATTTCTTTTACTAAGAAGCTAGCTCTGCATTAGACCTCAAACTTGCCATGCAGGACATATTTTAATGTTTTTAGTTATTTAACATTTAGACAAAATGTCTTGCAGAGCCCTTTCTGGTGATTTTTCGTTTGCTTAGATTGGATTTTTGCTATAATGTGCTTTTGCTATAACTGTCTGTTTAATTTTTCAATTTCTTTTTTAATGAGTAATACTTTATCATATTTTTTTCTCTTATATCTTTCATTTTTGAATGATGAGTGAGAAATCACAACACAGAACAGCTATGGGGGTACTCCATGTCCTAAAATACAGGAAAGGATAGGAGCCTTTTCTTTCCACTTAGTTTTGCCCAGACCTTTACTATAGTTTCATATGCAGGTGTTTTGTGCTAGCACAAGTTATATGCCTTGATCAGAAAAATTAGCTAAGTACTTCTGGTAAGACTGATAGTGATAAAATAAAATACAAGTTATTCTCAAGAACACTATGTGCATCTTGCTTCAGAGAAGCCTTAGCATAATTTCTGGAACAATGTTTTCATTTTCTTGCAGTGCAATTTAACAGCTATGAATAACTAATAATTAGCCTTTGATATAACTGACCAGGAGATAACAATCTGCCCATGCCTCCAATAGTCAGAGAATGAAGTAGGAAGAGACCTTGAAATGTAAATGAGGCCACGAACTTGCTGCTCTGGGACAAACCTCCCTTTAGATTAC